TGCCTCTCCACCCAGCCCCAAGCAGTGAAGCTCCACCGTGTGTCCCTAAATCCGTTTTTTTTTTTTCCAGTAAATCTCCCCTGTCTCCTTGGAAACTGGCACAGCTCCCCAGTGCCAGGGCTTCTGGAAATGCAGCGCCCCAAAAGTTGTCCCTGTTTTGGGGTTCTCTGGGCTGGGGTGGGAGCAGGGATGCTCTGGTTACTGGGGGGCACTGGGAAGTCTGGCAGAGAATTTTGGGCAGGGTGGGCAGCAAATGGAGAGGGAATCAAGCAAGGAGCAGAGCAGGAGCAGGAGGGGCTGAGAAAAGGAATTGGGGAGGGAGAAGCAGAGGTGCTGGGACCGGCATTCCAGGCGGTTCTGTTATGGCTGAAGTCAAGATATTCCTTCTGTTTTTCTGCTTTTCCAATTTTAGGGATWTTTTTTTCCCCTTCTGGTGGGAAATGTCATGTGGCAGAGCAGGTAAAGGATTTGCTTGTGTGAATATTTTGGGGGGGCTGGACAGGACACCTCAAATCAAACACCTTCCTAATCAGCTCTTTGCCCCTAAATCCGGCTTTCCAACACTAAACTGGTGTGGTCTCCCCGGCTTTTCATCAGATTTTATTGGATCCAGGATTGCCTACCGCAGCCTGAGTTCAGAGGAAATTAATTCTACCAGGAGATGTAAAACATTAAAAATTAAAAAGGAGTTAAAACACTCTTTACAGAATATTTCGTGTTTGCCAGCTCGCCTTGGGATTTTGCCCTTTGCCCACGCATGTGCCCATTTAAATYAAACTCAGAAACAAACAGGGGGAAAAAAATGTGAAAAGTACAAAAAAAGCCAGGGAAAAAAATCAGAGAAACTCCTGCCATGAATTAGCTTTTTTTGATAAAACCGAGCACTAGCTGGAGGAGCTCATCCCTGACAGACAGGGAAATACTCAGGAAAGAAAAGTAAAAGATAAGATGGGGAAAGCTAAATGCAAAGAGAGGTTTTAAAGAGGCTTTAAAAAAATTAATAATGAAAAGCTCAGGAAACAAAGAGCTCTCCCARGCAGGTGGGATGCTGTGCCCCAGTTCGGTAAGGACTTGGTGTCCCTGAGCATTTTTTCCCCAAATAGGGTTTTTTTGGGGGGGAGGGAGAGGTAAATTTTGTTGATTTGAAGCAAATCAGAGAAGAAATGAAACTTTCCACGCTGCTGCTTGGGAGATGCCAGTGGCGGGGACGTGGCTGAGCTGTCCCTGGCAGCCCCAACACTTCCCAGACCTTTCCCGCTCGGATCCTCCCATCACAAAAAAATAAATGAGAAAATCACYGACCGACACGGGCTGACGTGAGGCAGCACAAGAAACCCCCCTGCACCCGGAGCTGTTCATTTCCAAGGCTGTTCTGTGCCCGTGGTGGTGGCAGGGGACACAAGTGACACTGCAGGAAGGGGCAGTCTGGGATGATGGGCTGTGAAGCCAAGGAATGGTTCAATTGGCACCGTGGCTGCATCGTGGGGACCGAGGTGTGGTGCTGGTGACAAGCCCTGGGGACAGCTGGTGGCAGGGAGCAGGATGGTGCTGCTTTTCTCCAGGTTTCTTTCTGGATTTCCAGAGTTCCAATTTTTTGCTGCATTAAATCCAAGCTCGGGGCTCCAGCAGTGGGAAGGAGAGAGGGAGGAAGAGGGAGAAGGACAGAGGAAGAGCAGGGATGCTCGGGAAGGGTCTGACCCTGCATCACGGGGCGCTGTGGCTTCAATTTGTGAGATTGCAGCTCAAACACTCGTCCCTCTCCTTCCCCAGCRCCTCCTGCCTGATCCAGGTCCTCCTTCTCCTCCCTGCAAAGTTCAGGGCTCTCCCCAAACACACAGAGCTGGGGATTCCATCCGCTGGGAGCCCATGGAGCAGACACATCCCTCCCTCCCCACGAGGAAATTCGGGAAAGCTGGAGCGGGAAAGGCCGCGTTTTCCAAGCTCTGCTGGCGATGAAATMTTTTTGATTAAAAATTTCAAAACCAAAATAACACCTCCCCTCGATTTTGCTTCCTTCACCTCAGGGAGCAGAACCCCTTTTGCCTTGGCCCTGCAGAAGCAGCCGGACCTTCCTGGCATCGCCCCTTCTCCGTCACTCGCCGGATGCGATTAAAATGGAAGACAACCATCAAGTGTGCTAGAACCATTTTAATATAATTATACATATCTGCCAAATCCAGGAAAAAAAAAAAGGTTTATGCATATATATCTTTTTTTTTTTTCTTTTTTTTTCAGTTAACATCTGCAAGCATAAACGACAATGAATTTCTCGGTTTAAATTCATCCAGATCAGAGCAACTGCCCAAAGTCCTGTTGGA